TGGACTTTTTGCTGACACCAGGATTGAAAAGTTGATATTTTATGGATTTGCTTATAGATAAAGAGATGGGATAGGGGATGAAGAGATAAATGTTTGTAACTTTAGAGAGGGTGAAGAATTACTAATTTGTTTATTCTTATTGTGATGAAGGTTGGAAGTAACTTTTTTATATATTCCTTTTCTCTTTATTATATTCTTACTTTTTTTTCTTCTCTTTTTTTCTTTCTTTTTCCTTGCACTTTTTACTCCTCTCTATTCTCTTTTCTTTCTTTAGATTTAGTTCGTATTAGATTTTAGTATGATAATTAAAACTGTTAATAAAAATTATATACAAAAAAAAGACAAATACATGAAATATAAGGCTATCAGCTCAATAGCTGTTAGTCATAATGTCTACATATAATATCCAGTATGAAAAGCAACACGGTTCTTACTACCAGTTGCTGGGAAACATGAGGGAGAAGGTGTTATGGGACTTAGGTCTGCTTATGAGCTTCTTGTCAACACCTGGTTGGCCCGTTAGAACAAAATGCAAGACTGGACAGACCTTTTATTTGACTCAGCAAGATGCTTTTTACATTATTCTATATACTGGCTGTGTTTCACATTGTTCTCACTCTTTTTGCCCCATGATGTCTCAAAGCTACTTTGAGAAAAGCTTCTTATTGTGACTGGTCTGGCTGATAAAGGGAGCAAAACTCCTTCAAATATTTGTCATTTGAATACTTATTTTCCACACCTGTAGGGGTCTGTGCTGTTCTGCTTCTTCCTTGCTCCACTGTAAGTAGCCAACATTGCTGCGGGAGTGGACTCCATGCAGTTCTTTTTGCACACTGCCTTCAGTGTCAATCTTTTGGCATCCATTGAACACATGTGGACTTGCTCTGCCAGTTAAAATGAGATTCAGAATTGCCTAAAGGGGAAAAGGACCAACATCACACTTCCAGATTGTAGATCAGAAATAGAACTCGGGGATTAGCACTCAGGGAATAGTAGTAATGTGTATTATTTTCTTTATATATCTGATTTTTTAAAAAAATTAATGCAGCAGAGCAAGAGAGAGAAAGAGACATAGGAATTTTCATTGTAGGAAGAAAGCACAGGGTTTTATTTCACTTATACTTAATATAATACAAATGAAGCATACTTAATATGATCGCTCTACTGTTGCTTGGGAGCCCCATGTGGCCCTGTGGACTCAAGCTGTGTTTCTCTACTTGAGAATTCCCCCTAGAAATATTATGGTGGGCAGGAATATTAATGCTGTGAACCCTCATCTTATGCTCAGCCTATCTATGTGTGGTTAAATGTATGTACTCTGTTTTTTTAAAACAGAATCACCATCAGTCCCCAGTAACTTCCTTTTAAGATTTTACTGGTTGGATGTCCAACATAAGGAGATTCTCAAAAGTATAAAATTGCTTGCTCCTAAGTTAATACATAAGTGTTATTTACTTTACTCCTTTCTGGTCCAAACTTGTTAAGGAATTTATGCAAATTTATATTAAGCAAATTTCCCCACCCATGGTACTTTGCAAGTACAATTTCCAAAACCTCCAGGTAGTATGGCCTCTGGAACTACAGTTCCAACATCTCTGGTGGTACCAAGTTGAGGGAGCACTGACACCAGCTAAAAAGAAAGGCTATCCATTTCATCACCTGTTAGCATTAATGATTAATAACTGGGAATATACTGGTGTCGGCTTTCACAGCCAGTACCTCTTGGGCAGTCTTGGGCTTCAGAGTTTAGTGACCATGGTCTAGACAACAGATTTCCTGACGTTTCGCCGGCAACTGTGGCTGGTATCTTCAGAGGCAAGTTGGTCGCAGGCAACCGAGCAGGGACTGACAACAGGAAATCTGTTGTCTTGATCATGGTCACCAAACCCTGAAGCCCAACATTGCCCAATAACTGGGAAATTTAAAGTATAGCAACATATATTTTCACTTTCATATATTTATGAAAAGTAGTCAAAGAATATAGATTTCATATTCAGCGACTTACTTGTCTACAGCTGATGAGTCCATGTCTACATTGTAACAGGTAAGTTGTGGTGAAGTCTAGATCTCTCTGAAGCCTATCCAGCCAAACACAAAGGAAATGCTATTGGTTTCACTTGTAGTTTAACTCAATGTATCATCTACCATCAACTATCCAAACCCCGTTTCAGCCATCCTATGAAAAAGCCCATGGGACTGACAGTGAACAATGTTTAACGTTATTGGAGGGTGTAATAACCAGTATGATATTGACTAAAACATCAGGCCTAGCAGAGAGACACAGATTCAAAACCCCCACTCAGCCGTGAAGGTTATTGTGTGAATAGGACCATTTACTATCTCACAGCATATTTCATTTTTTATTATTGAGATTATGCCCAGCCTTTCTCTTTATATAAACACTCAAGTTTAATTTATATAGCAGAGTTATGGAATTGATAACATAGGAAGAAAGAGAATCAAATAAACCTCCCTTTGAAATCCTTGGAGAGAGGCAGGATATGGACATAATAAGCAAAGATCTAACAAAAATGAAATTGGAAAAGTAAAGGTCATTAAATTGAAACTTTTTTGAAGAGCCTTTCCATAACATCACTGGCACCTCTCGTTCTTATTTTTCTTTCCTACTTTGGTTTTCACTTTGCAGTTTGGATAGTATGTGGTTTTAATTCTGTTGTTTTTATTGTGACATTGTAACCAGCAGAAATTCCATAAACCAAAGGTACTTTTCCCCAGAAAAAAATGATGCTGTTTCATGAGTTGCAAACAAGGACTATGTTTGTATCCATAAATGCTGAAAAGCTTCTCTCTGGAACTAAATTTGAAGCATTGCACCACCTCAGGGAGTTTCTGTATGTCTGAGCACTAATGTGCCTGCAGCCTGCTACCCTCTGCCTCACAGACTTTAATTATGGAATTTTTTAATTAAAAAAAAATGCTGAAATACAAAGTTGCAACCTCCAATATAATTTTTTATTTACCAGAACGTGACTAAGTCTAACAGGCCACCTTAGGAAATAAAATGTTATGTGGCGACAGCCAAATACATTTTTTAGAAATGTGCTTACCTGTCTAACAAAAAACAAAAGGAAGGAGGATAGCAGGAAGCATCTTGGGAGGCTTTAGTGAATGGCATATTTCAAATGGGCAGGCCATTCCATGGGAGCCATTTTGTGGAAGTGGATGGGGCTTGCTTCAATATAGAGTCCTTGGTGGTTTTCTTGCAGATGTTTCATTACCCAACTAGGTAACATCTTCAGTGCTAGAAGGGAGTGGGGTTTGCTCTCTGTTTATATACAGTCGTTTGCCCTGTCAGTGTTGGAGGGGGTGTTGTTTTTTCTTGGGAGTTCCTAGATTAGGCTGTTGTTTACTGCTTGATTGTTTGTCTAAGTTGGTAGGTCCTTGATTAGGGTATTGTTTGCTGCTTGGTTGTTTGTGTGGTGTTAATCCTGGTGTTAATCCCTGCTTATCTGGGTGTTGATTGATGGTGAGGAAGTGTTCTGGTCTTTTTGTTTCCTTTTTATTGTCTCTTTTGAATGGTGTGTAAATGTTGTTTATCTCTATGTGCTTGTTGATGGCTGACACGTTTTTGGATTTAGCTTGGTCTAAGATGCTGGCAGTGTCACAGTTGAAGCTGTGGTTGAGTCTGCCCATGTGTTGTGAGATTAAGGAGTTCTCCTTGTGATTTCTGACTGATAGTTGGTGTTCATGGATGTGCTCTGCTAGTCTTCTGCCTGTCTGTCCTGCATAGTGGCTGTTGTAGTCCTAACACTGTATCGCTTCAATATGCCTAAATAAAATAATACTGCTAACTGTTCTTTGTGTAAATGGATTTTATCCCATAGTGTCACGGTAATCTCTCTGACAGAAATATGAACGCTTTGCAAATAACCAATCACATTTGCATCATCCCATAATTTCTCCTTAGGTTTTGATAGTATACGAACCAAATTTTCTTCTGAAGCTCTTTCTTTACAGATGAATGTAAATAACATTTACAAAATCTTAAGGTATATGCACTGATTTGTAAATAATTGCTTAACTTAAATCTAAGTAATTAAAAAAGGGAAAACTTCTTTTTTTACCTTTCAAATGTCCTGGAGAAAAGTAAACTATATAGAAATAAGATGACCCCATGACTTCCCTCAGAGTTCATCTGATTCAAACAGATTAAAGAAAAAAAGGATTATTATAACATTGGCCAACTTATCTGAATATTGTAGCTAGGTTTTGTTTCTTGTTTTTAATTAGAACATTATCCAAAATCAGCCTTCCTTAACATGGCATTTTCCAGATATACTGGGATTACAACTTCAGAATTCGTCACCAGGATGGATTTATTTATTTATTTTAGAAATTTATAAGGCTGCCCAACTCTGCAATGACTCTGGGTGGTATACAGTAGAATAATAATACTAAAATGCAATTAAAAGAACCCAAATGCTGGAAGAATAACACTGACATAGACAGGACCTGCTACTCAATCTAACCCAAGGCCTGGAGAAACAGCCAGATTTTGGATGCCAAGCTGGAGAAAGTTTCTCCATATATAAGCAAAAATTATTATTCAAAATGTAACAAAAATTTAACAGCTGGATCAGAATAAAATTGAACTAGCTAATACTGCTGGATAAGAGTGGGACAGCAATCTTGTGGGTGCTGATTTAAGAATAATACCCAGTAAACACAGTAGTAATTGTTTAAGAAAAAATACACAGAACTATAGTTTTGTTTGTGTCTACAGTAAACAAAAAAAGTTTGGAACAGATTCAATTTTGTAAAGAAATTGCAGATCCTTTACTTACGCAGTGTATGTGATCCCAGATAAACCGCTGAACTGTTTCTTGCTCAAAAAAGTCAAACAGTTGAACCTGCAAAGAAATATTAACAATTATGTCCATAAAGTGATTGGATTTCAGTAAGAACAAAATATTGAAAAGATGTAGTAATTATTCAGCGTTATCACAGAAAACCATTGTTTATTCTGATTTTGAATTATATATCTCCTTCTATCCTAGAGTTCACCTTAGTAAAATCTGCCAGAACTTGGTTAGAAAAATATGGATGTTCCTTAAACTGCAGCGAAGTAATACATAAAAGTTAACTCTTTCCTGGCTTCTAGCAGGTGGTTTGAATTTTTGCATTGCGCATACGGTACCCTATTTTATCATATACAGCAATCTTCCCCAAATCGCCTGTCCACATTACTTGTACTTAAATTCTTAAAATTCTGGCTGTGAATGGGTGGTCTCAGTTGCCTGTAGGCACAATAGTGTGTACTTTTGAGTTTTTCTCTTATTTTGTGTCTAGACTCAACTAAAACATTTCTCCCTTCCAAATCTTTAGAACAGCTTATCTTACTTGTTCAGTAAAGTGATCCACTTCGTAGTCTATATTTGGAGTAAAGTAAGTATCACCAGTGATAAGGCAGATAGTCGCTCTCTGACCTTCTCCTGCTGTCCACAGAATATCAGCTAGTGCTGTTGTAAGAGTTTTTTCTTGCTCTTTGAGGCTTATTTTAGATATACTGGAAAGCCAAATATAAAGAGGTCATAGGGAATCACAAAGGCAAATCAGTAGATTTTGAACTGTCTCCTTGATTTTGATTCTCAAAAGGCATTGGGCTGGATTTGCAAAAAATGCTAAACCATGATTTAGCATGAAGTGCATAACTTAAAATAAGATAAGCAAGACTTGGATGTGTCCTCTCACCATGCCTTTTCGTAAGTGGCTAAGAAAAGGTTTCAGAAGTTGCTCCTTTTGTTAACTGCAGGTTTGTCATGTTTCATGGAGTAAGAAACTATGGTTTATGCTAATCATGGCTAGGTTCCAGCAAGACAGCTTCAAACCTCAGTTTCTTAATTAGGGTGATGAAACATACCATGATTAATGTTAAATGCAAGTAACTCCAATAAACTATGTGCAACCCAGTTGGTTGCAGTAATGTTGATAAGTGAGGAGTTGAGTGATAAGGATCTACTTTCACAGCTCTAGCAGAAGAAATAGGATCCTTGGAGATGCTAAGGTGAATAGAAGAAGATATTAAGCAAAGGGATAAAGTGGCTGCTGGTAGACAGCATGGAGTCAGTAAGAAAATCAGAAATGGGCACCTCTAAAGGGAGGGGTTTCTCCTAAGAGGACAGAGAGGCAAGAAATGGACCTCAGAGACAAAAGAGTGATAACAAGCTATGAATATACACAGAGACACAGACAGACATACAGGTACAAAGGGGGAGAAAGTTGAGAAGCAGAGGTTTAGCCTAGAGCAGGTTTTCTCAACCTTAGCAACTTTAAGATATGTGGACTTCAATTCTCAGAATTTCCCAGCCAGCATGAAATTAGTCTAGAAAGAGGCAGCCTGAAGTGACAAAGGGAGTCATATATAAAACTTTACATCAACGAGAAAAAAATACTACTCATGAGTAAGCAAGAACTAAAAGGAAATTACAGCACTTTAACAGCTGGATTCCTCTCCCTGGAAAGAGAGAAGAGGCAGCTTGGAATGAGCAAAGAATCCAGAAGATGGGTTAGCAGTTCAGGTAATGCACAGAGACAGAGAGGGGGGCTGGCAGGTTTCACCTGTGAGGAAGCTGCCAAGAGAATAGTCTGGAGGAAGGTTGAGGTTTGATGCTGGGAGGGTGAGAGGCAGATTGGAGCCTGGAGTGATGCAGAGTGGTGTGAGGAGAACTGTTACGCTGAGAGTTTTGCAGAGGGACAGCTGTTGCTGTGGGCATTTTTGGAAGAGAGTGGGAAGAATCAGTTTAACCATGTATTGTGCTGTTGAAATGTGTTGCAGCTTTCTGAGATGGCTCAGTCTGTTGTGTAGGGAGTGCTAGTTCTGAGTAAGCCTCCCTGCTGGGTGAACAAAGATTCATCCCACTGAGTTCCATAGCTTATTACTGCTTAAATTATTTCTCTAACTGTGTAATGCTGTCTGTATTGTTTTCCGAATGCAAATTATAAAGTTCTTGTCTATTCATAACTAGGGGTGGAAATTGCCCCTTAGTGCCTCTCCACTGGATAGAGACACGGCAGCAGACTAATCTACATGAATTGGATAGGTGCTGGAGTGACTCTGCTTGGAAGTTCCATTGCGGATCCAGCTTCTCAAACTCAGGACTGACTACTGTCTGGAAAGTGAAGCTACATATAGTTAATTAAAGGAACACTGAAGGAGGTTACATTCCCTCTCTGGACTTGTGAGAGAGGAGTGGGAGACCAGAGGCTCATTGTCTTTCCCATGAAAATAGGTGCATAACCTACAGCTTCAGAACCACATGGGATCCCATTAAGCTTTGAGTGTGGCCATCAAGACCTCCAAAAGCTGTTAACAGATGAATGACTGAAGAGAAATATACTTACATTTTAATTTTAATTAAATTCAAGAAGAAATGAAATGAAATCAGATTTAGATACCACCTGCTGCTTTTTGACTGCAGTCCCTGGCACACCACTCAAAGGCCAACTGAGGCTTTCAGCCCAGGAAAAGGAGTGTCTCTCTACCCTAGAGTCACGATTTGTATGATTTGCAAATGCTATTACTATATTCTTCATTCTCCATCTAGAGATTAATAAATAAAATTCTCCCCCTGTCCCAAATGTATGCATTTCCTCACCTTTGAAGGGACATATTTTCCTCCTTGTTTTGTACAAACAAAAAGTGTTTCATGATGTTAACCTGAACTGCCATCTGCATTGCTGTGGCTCCACCCTGAAAAAAATCATAAAATTGCTCGGTATTTTTGCTTACTCTATGATACAAATTAAATGTATTGGGGACCTTCCCCAACACATACAAAAGACTGAGCTATGGGCAATGCACGTATCCAAGCTTTATTTAGAATAGTAGTGGGCAGCCTTTTTTCCATAGCATGACATTAAATACAAATCTATTAATTAAAACTGTAGTGCAAACAGAGTTACTTGCAAAACAGAACCATTTTATTTTGGCCATTTACTCCTTGCCAGACCCTGCTGCCTCTGCTTAGGAAGCCCAGGGCCTCATCAGAAACAGCATCCAATACCGAGCAGAAGAGCATGCAGGAGTTGCTGAAGGACAGCTCTGCTCAGGTGAGAGCCCTGCCAATCAGGTCCTGTTGGACCAAGGTGAGTTGCGAGGCTGCTGTAGTCATGCTGCTCTACTTTCCAGAGTACTTCCCATGACCCAGACTGTACACTTACACAGTATTTTACAGCCCTGCCTTTCTTTGCTGGACACCATCGTCAGAACTTGCATGACACTTTGTAGGGCACAAGAAATTCTTTGGAGGGTTGCTTGTGGCCCACGGGCTGCAAGTTTGAGATCTTAGCATGTTGTGTGAAATACAACACCAGACTAAACTATAATATGATTTATTTGGGAGTGGAAATAGCTTGTTATATGAACATAGCAATTAGTTTCGTTAATTTTGATTAGGAGTTTAGTGTGTTGGGTGAACCAAGGCACTGTTTATTCATCTTATACTTTCTTAAGAATCTTGGAAGGAAGGAAGGACAAATAACTTTAGAAAGTTTTGGAGTAAAAATGACCTTAAGATATCCCCATACCTCCTCTGTTTGTCTCTCTCCATACTGATCTTTCTACCCACACAACAAAACCCATTCACTCCAATCTATTTTTTTCTATCTTATGCATATCTTCATTTATCTCCATCCACGCATTAATATCACAAACTCTATTTTTGCTTGTTATTTCATTCATTAACAAACACACATACATTTTGAAAGCACATATCTGACTGGATCTGTGCTTCTGAAAGAGTTCCTTGCTTGGACAGGAAGGAGGTACCACACTGAAGGTTTTGGGAAGCACAAATCTAGCCAGACCCAAGAAGTGCAGTACTCCAAATTGAGTACTGTTTATATTGTGTTTTCCAGACTTACATGAATACATAAGTTGCCCAGGGTCAGGCAGCATACATGTTTAATAAATTATTATTCATTATGATGATGATGATGAATATGTTCTGAGCTTGCAAGATGAATACTGCCATAAAATAGCAGAATATTTTCTCCACACAGAAATATTACTCAGTGCTGATGACTACAGCAACAGTACAAAGACAGTTGGAATGCAGTTTTTTTGGCTGGACATGACAAGCTTTAGAGCACTTTAGTTGCTAGAGTCAGCTGGAAACTTCTGAACCTATATAAGACTGATTTACCAGCTCTCTGTCTAGAAAATGTAGATATGCTTAATAATCACATAATCAATTAAGACAGGCTTCTCCAACTTGACATTGTGCTGGGCTTTGTGCAAGTTTCTATCATGGCAGCCCGGAGGGTGCTGGTCTAAAGATATAAAATTCTCTAAATGAGAAAGATTGTTTGCAATCCATTTCCATTTTCATCATTCCAAAAAAGAGAGGACAGGAGGAAATGAAGTAGACTGATAGTGGCTTTGGCTTGACCTTCCAGTAAATAGGTGAGATCCTGATAAAATACTTATCAATAAAAAATGATGAACAGATATTACCTTATCTATCTTTAAGGCATAGGCCAAGTCAGTATAAGGGTTGTGAAATCTGAAATATGCTCTTTTCCATTCATAGCTGAAGACTTGAAACGTGTTTCCAAATAACATCCTTCGCAGGTCCTTTGAATGGGAAGAATAGATGTATTTAATACACCATTAAACTGGGCAACAGCCAAAGATCTACTGGTGATGCAGAGATATTAAAAAAACTCATATATATAATCATAATAGGACACAATAATAAGAGATCCAAGCAAAAACAAAAAAGCCCTGGAGCCAAACAATATATAGGCTACAGCTTTCTCTGCTGTAGCCCCCGCCCTTTGGAACATCTTGCCGCCGAGGTGAGACAGGCCCCCTCACTCCCGGCCTTTGGGAGGGACTTGAAGACCTGGCACTGCCATCTGGCCTGGGGTGGGGAGGGAGGTCATCAGATATGGGGTTGGCTAGCCCCCTAGAGGCCTCCTGGATTTTTCCTCTTCCTTTTATTCTGTGTAAATGTGTTTTCTTATAAATTTTAACTGTATATTTATTTATTGT